ATAATCGCGTCACGGCCACCACGAGGACCGCTGCAATACCTTGGTGACTAGTGTCCTATACCACTAATCGTGTAATACAGGTGAAGCCACGCACACATCACACCTCAACAGGAATCAATCAATGGATCACAATGAAGATATGAAACCATACTCAATCAAGGAATGGATCACAGTCCAACAACAACAATGATGAATAACACAAGTTATCATCAATCAATCGGAAGGTAAAAACAACACACATGCTAGCATTTAAACACCAAACTAGCATGCTCTTCAAACGGGTAAACCAAAGATAATTCCGTAGAACACACAAGACTCATCACGGTTCAAGGAAACACAATGTTGAACACTTAGCACGATTCACGACACCAAAAACCTACATGGAGACCTACCACATAGTTCTAGACATACGAAACATCAAGAAGACACTCAAATAGTTCCACAAAAGAACATCGGGAAGTCAAAAGACCAAATACCGAGTCAAAAGGATCACGGGGAACAAATCCCATCATAACACCGAAGTGTTCCCCCGCGGGTGGACCCACGGGTAGGCTCCCACCCGTGGTTCCGCCTGCGGGTACACTACCCACCGGCCTACGTTCCGCGCGGGTGGGCGGCGAGTTGGAGCTCTACCTGTCGTTCCGCCCGCGGGTACATATACCTGTACAAAATAATCCCTTCGGGGATTTTCAACTCCAAGCTCAAATTCAAGTCCAAAACATGCCAAATCTCACCAAATACAACAAAATGACTTGAATTAGAGGAAATGCCAAGCAATTGCACAAATGAACCCTAAACACAAGCTCTAGATATGCATTTTCACAAGATCATGCATCAACACTCACATTTCATAGCAAAACACATGTAGAATCCAAGAAATCACATATAGGTAAGCAAAATAGGTTTTGTAGAGCATGGGTTACCTCTTGTAGACTAAAGACTTCACTTTACACCTTAATAAGCTCTTCTCAAGGCTCACCTTCCAAACCCACTTCAAGAACAAACCAAAAGATCATATAGATCCTACCTTTAAGAAAAGATACCTAAGATGAAACCAAAAACACAAGATGAACTTAGATCTTACCCTCCTAGATGCCCAAATATAAGAAAGGTTGAATCTTGGAAGCAACTCTTGAAGTCTTGGCAAGGCTCCAACTTGGCTTGGAAGAAAAGCTACTCACCTTTTTAGAGAGATGGTGGAGCTAGATTTTTAGAAAGTGTAAGGATAGAATGAAGATGATCTACTAGGTTAGGTTACAATACTAACACCATGTAAAAGGTCAAGAATGCCCTTACTAACATTAGGAAGTGTAAGGAACAAGGGAACTCCTTACAAAGCTCAAGGTACAACTTTGGCTTTGGGGTTGACTAGTCAATTATTAGTCCCCAAGTATTGAATTTTTAGGATTTTTAGGAATTAATTCACCAATTGAAATAGGATTAATTACTCAATTAATCCGTTAATGGAATTTGGATTTTGGGGTGTCACACTTAATGTGTAATACTATTTGAACAAAATAAATTATCATTCATATTCTACCGTGTAATTACTATGGTAATTTTATGGTAATCTCTCTATACATATTTTTATACTTATAGTATAAAAGTATAATTACACAAAATTAGTATAATTACCTAATAATTGTTATGCCAATTAAAGAATTAATTGTCCAGATATTTGTATAATTGATTAGTAATTATTGTATTAGTTAAGCGGGTAATTACACGGATATTAGTATAATTACAAATAAACCTGGATTGTTAGATTTATTTTAATAATAATTACAATCAATTCATTGAGATATGGAATAGGAGGAAAAAAGCAAATGCTATATAGTGAAAATGAATATATTTAAGCTATAAAAGTATAATTATAGATTTATTAGTATAATTACCTAATAATTATTTTGGTTATTAAGCTAAACATGTGTCGATGGATTTATTTTTATAATAATTACAATTAAATTATTTCTTCTTTTTGTTTTCCATATTTATTTTACTAATAATAAAATTACATAAATTATACTCCGTCCGTCCCATTTTAAGTGTTGGGTTCTATTAATGAGGCTTAACTGAAGTTATTTACAATTTAATTTTTCATAATATTAAGTTTAGAATTAGTATGTAAAATTTATATATTTAGGAACTACATTAAAATTAAAGTACAATTAAACACAAAAAAAATCAAATTTAAAAATTACAACAAAATGCTAATAGAAATAAGCAAAGAAGAAAGAATTGGTTTAATCAATGAATAGTAAGTAGAACAGATAAAATGGGATAGAGAAAGTATTACATATTGAGTTTTCCAAAATATTTAAAGACAAATGAGTCATATGTAATTCAATTAATTGAGTGATATTTTATTCACTAATATTATAATCAAATAAATAAACATTTTCAAATATTAAAATTGTTTATAATTTTATCTTTAATTTTATTATCTAAATATATAATAAAAAAAATAATAATAATATTAATATGACCGCGGTTTTCGGAGCCTAAAATTTTACAAGTAGTGGAGAGAAAAGTCCATGGTTGGATTTGTAACATTTATTTAGCCATACATACAGATCACATCAGAGCAGCTGCTTTTATATATATATATATATATATATATATATATATATATATATATATATATATATATATATATATATATATAGATCGTGCGAATGGCCGCGCAGGTGTGAAATGCGAACCAATTAGCGCGCATTACGTGTCAACATTCATTGATCGGGTGCACCTACTTTCACCTACAAGTGCATGTAATTTTGCCTCTACTTTCACCTACAAGTACACATACTTTCACCAACAAGTGCATGTAATTTTGCCCTGTTAACATGCATTCATTGATCAGGTGCACCTACTTTCACCTACAAGTGCACCTACTTTCACCTAGGTGCACCTAGTTATAATTATATGTGCACCTAGGTCTGGACACGTGGCGCGCACTGATTGGTTCGCATTTCACTCATGGACGCGCCATTCGCACCAGAACGCGGCTCTCTCTCTCTCTCTCTCTCTCTATATATATATATATATATATATATATATATATATATATATATATATATATATATATATATATATCAACTCAAATGCGGCCACACCTTAACATTTAGCCCCCCATTAGCTATGCAAAAACACACTTATAGTGTCAGAAAACACACCACAAAAACATGCACTAATGCACCATACACCCAAAAAATGCATCATACCTTCCCGCCTAATGGTGTGTTTCCGAACACTGTGTGGTGCGTTAATGTTGTATCTAATGTTGCGTTTTGGGGTGATGTGTACCTAATGCCCTAATGGTGCATTTTGTGGTTCATTGGTGCATTTTTTTGTGCGTTTCCTAACACTATTGGTGCGTTTCTGAATACCTAATTGTGCGGCAACACGTTATTATTAAAAACAGGCGGTGGTAATTTGGCCTTTTTGCATCTAGGTCAAATGTAAGGTGCGTGATTTTGTTTCTTAAAGTGCGTGGTTTGTGTGCTAAAGGTGTGTCAGTTGTTGAACTTTAAAGTGCTGGGCCGGCCTAAAGCTTTAGGTGCGTACGTGGTCTTTCCTTCTTAAGGTATGTGATTTTCCTTCTTAATGTGCGTGGTTTGTGTACTTAAGGTATGTCAATTGTTCAAACTTAAGGTGCGTCGGTCTAAGGCAATTAGGTGCGTGGTGCGTGATTTTCTTTCTTAAGGTGCGTTGTTTTCCTTCTTTAAGGTGCGCCAGTCTAAAGTTGTAGGTGTGTGGTTTTCCTTCTTAAGCTGCGTTGTTTTCCTTCATAAGGTGTTTTGTTTTCCTTCTTAAGGTGTAATGTTTTCCCTCTTAAGGTCCATTTTTTGAGTAAAAAAAACAAAAAGTAAATAAATAAAATCATATCCCAGTTAACTTTCACCATTAGAATCTCAACCCAAATGCAATCCAGTCATAACATTGCTTTGATAGTTTAATTTATATTTTCAGACGACTTTGATAGTTGTTATCTTTGGAGTAAACCTGAAGAAGATGAATGCATTAATGAAGGGCGCACGTTTTTTTATTATTTTTTATTTTTTTTTATTTTTTTATTTTCATTGATTTGAGTTGTTGATATAGATTTGATCAACGACTCAAATCTAACTCTATTTTTTATCTAGGAGCATCTTCGCACAAACACTCATCCGTGTGTGTGTATATTATATAATATATATATATATATATATATATATATATATATATATATATAGGGAGAGCTTCAAGTGAGAACCATCTTAAGGTAAGAACGTAAGAACTAATCCAGGCCTTTGAATCCCATCTAATCAATGCGTTAGATTGCTTAAACATTAACAAGGAGATCATTAAAAGATATAATTAAAAAGGATATTAGGGTAATTTTCAACACCAACCAATTAATAATTAATATTAAATAGATATCATCCCAATAATGTAGGAGATGCAACGCTCAAGGACTCTAATTTGACTACAAATAACGCCACGACAACCCTGCTCCACATAATCTCCGACAACCCTTTGCGAATTCCGGCCGGCCAAGTGCAACGTGAAGCATCCAAAGCAGCAAGATGTCAACAGAATACAACAACAGTAAGTAGAATTTATGAATATGTACCCATGATTTTGTATGCAATTTGAATTGGGGGGGGGGGGGGGGGGGGAGGGGGTGGGGAATGGTAATGGAGTGTTTACGCATACACTCAGGCGGAAACAGTGTTGTGCATGTCTTGCCCTACTGGGTTTGGACACCTAATGTGCATCACCCGAAACGCTGCGGGGCACACACTGCCCTAGGCATACGCGACTATGTGCACCCACATTTAAGAGGAAGTGCACAGACGAACCCACATATAGCATTATGTGCACAGAAATTCGCCCATAAGGGCACAGACTTAGCCACAATGTCGGACTAGTGATACTAACTTCTGCTCATGGCATAATCCCCGTAGTCGGGACGTACGTGACGGCAGTGGGTGCACCTACGGTCTCATTAATGTGCCAACATGGTGGTCAAACCCAACGGTCGTGAACTTCGGTTATACCCTGAGTGCCACACAAGTCCAAAACATATTGAACTAACAAATTTGCACCCCTTGACAGGTGAAGACGGCTTAACAGGGAAACCAACTGGGTGTTTGATGAACATCTCCCCCGGATCAACGAAGTACTGGACCCCACAGTGTGAAGCGGCCAAAACGCCTTTTGAGGGACAAGTGTTCACTACTTTGGAGGGAGGAATTGAGTTCTACAAAGCTTATGCCACTACTGCTGGGTTTGATGTGCGGCGCGCTTCCGAAAAAACGGACTGGCAAGGGCAAATCACGTGGAGGTATGTGTTGTGTTCACGTTTTGGCTTCAAACTCCCTACCGGCCAAGGGGATGGGGTAGGGGTGCTATCAGCCGAAGACAATGCCCCAACTAAAAGGCGCCGTGTCACGAATAGGGTGGGGTGCAACGCTAAAATAATATTCAAGAGAGCAAAGGACGGTAATGGTTATGAGGTAGCGGCAATTGAGAAGCGCCACACCCACTTGTTGTGCACTGCAGTTTCTAGGCCCTTCATGAAGGCAAACCGGAACCTAGACCTTGGGCACCAAAACTTCATCATCAATTGTGCCAAGGCAAATATCGGGTACACCAAATCATTTACACTATATGAAGAGATGGTTGGAGGGTTTGAGAATGTTGGAGCTACAGTAACAGATTTCGGGAATTACAAAAGAGATATAATGGCGTACATAGAAGGCGCAGATGCCCAATTAGTGATTGACAAGTACATGGCAAAGAAAGAAGTGTCCACCGACTTCTATTTTGCCCACGATGTTGATGAGCTTGACCAACTATGTCGAATATTTTGGGCAGACCCACAAGCTCGACACAATTTCAAACTACTCGGCGATGTTATGTCCTTCGACGCCACATACAGTACAAACAGGTACATACCACACCCTACGCCTCCCTTTATGATCTCTTGGACCCATGTTCACATATGATGCTACAAAGTGAGTGCACAGAATTAGTGCGAATGGTTGCCCTGGCACCACAAATGGTCTCCAATACGGCAGGCCCAGTCGGGGTGCACACCCATTAAGGGTGAGTGCAGTCTGCACTACAATATACCATGGAGACTGGGCATGACCCTGCTGAGTGGGGCACATAGTCTGACCCCGTTGGGCACAGAGTCGGGGCCAGATGTGCACACCCCCAGAGGCTAGTAGTGCACACAGCCACCCAGTAACACAAACCAGCTAGTTCTGATACGGCTTTCTGGTTGTCACCACCCCCACTTAGTAAGTAACCATTAAATTTTTATACACCATGTGATGACTACAGGTACAAGCTGGTGTTCGTGCCATTCACCGGGGTGGATCACCACAAGAAGAGTGTGACATTTGCAGCCGGATTAATTGCCAAAGAAGATGTGGACTCCTACACCTGGCTGCTCGAACACTTCAAAACGGCAATGGGTAAAGTACCCACGTGCACAGTTACTGACCAAGATCCAGCGATGAGAGTGGCAATATCGCGTGTTTTTGATACAACACGCCACAGATACTGCATGTGGCACATCATGACAAAGGTTTGCGAAAAGGTAGGGCCCACATTAGCAAGGAACGAAGATTTCTTAAGAAGCCTAAACAATGTGGTTTGGAATGAGACGCAAACAATTAGTGAGTTTGAAGCAGCATGGCAAACAGTAATGGAAAAACATGAACTGGTTGACCACAGATGGTTTACCCACTTGTTTGAGATGCGTGAATATTGGATACCAGCATTCTTTAACGACATGTTCATGGGTGGCTTAATGAAAACAACCTCAAGGTCGGAGTCGGAGAACAACGTCTTCAACAGCTGCACTTCCCCACATCTAAGTTTAACGGACTTCTTCATAAAGTTTGAGAAAGCAATAGACAAACAACGCCACACCCAAACAAGGCTAAACGCAGATTGTGAGGACAAATTCCCAGAGTTGAAGACAACTTTATTGCTAGAGCGTCAAGCTGCTACAACATATACAATCGCTATGTTCTATGATGTCCAAAAAGAGATACTTGAAGCATGCTTCTTATCCCAAATCATTAACAAAACAGTTGAAGGAAACACTGTCAGACTTGAAATAGAGGATACAAACAAGATGATGCACTCAGTGGAATACAATTCTGCCACCCGGACAACACACTGCACATGCAACATGTTCAATAGGATTGGGCTACAGTGTAGGCATGTGTTGTTGGCGTTTAAGGATGCACGTTTAGAAAGAATACCAGGACAATATATCACTCCACGATGGACCCGCACTACATGTTGGCCATACGCACAGCTTTATGCAAACCCCGAACAAGGCGGGCCTACAGAAGTTTTAAGTGGGGATACGCGAATAGGTACCGTATTCGATGAGTTCTTCAAGTGTGTTGGGAACGCGTACGGTAACACTGATCGAATAACAGAGCTAGCACAAATATTGAAAGAGTATAGAGAAAAGACAACAGAAAGCATGCCGCAAATGGAAACTAGAGCAAAGAAAACTGGTATGATACGTAGCTTCTGTGGGTCAACCTCAACACCAAACATTTTGGTTCACCCCCCCCCCCCCCCCCCCCCCCCCCCCCCCGCCATTGCAAAGAACAAAGGTTCGGGAAAGCGATTGAAATCAGTAAAGGAAATCGCATCGGATGTAGCTGCAAAGGATGTAAGGAAATGTTGGACTTGTAACAAATACGGACACCATGATAGCCGCAACTGCGAACTGCGACCAAAAAACCAGAAACAAAAAACAAAAAAAACTGCCTAATGGAAAGAGGCCATATTTTGATAGTGAGCACCTACGATGGACAGTGCGTGCCATTCAGCCCTACTGCATAACAGTTTTTTACAATCATTTTTTAGAAGTGTATTTGTGTACGAATAATTATCACCAAACTTGTTTTTACATATACATATATATATATATATATATATATATATATATATATATATATATATATATATATATATATATATATATATATATATATATATTTACGTGACATTATGAATCCATGAAAGATGTACATGCCAATGTGCACCCCTAGTAAACAGAGTGTGCCACGCACCTCATACTGGGTACAGGGTGCTCTTGTGCACCCATTCACAGTACTGGGTGCCTTTAAACGACACTCGAGTTTAGTATTTTGCCCCAAAATAATTTTATTGCAATTGATTATGAATACCCGACCGCCAATATTATTTGGCAGCAATAGATACGTGGCGATGTAAATGGCGGCCAACAAATAATAGCAGATTGTGCGGTGGATGAAGGTATAGCATACATGTGTGTGCATATGTGAAGTCCTGAGTGTGCCAAGCTGGACATTGCGTGAGCACATAATTGTATGTGTCCGTGCACCTATGAACATACGACCCAAATGCATGGCACCAAGAATTACCCACGAAAGAATTAATAACAAACTAACAACGTGAGTCCACCATACCCACCACCACCACCACCCCCCCCCCCCAACTGGGTTGGTAAAATCTCTAGGCATATGAACATAAGGATAGCCGCACCGGCCAGATGCCACCAAAAACCCAAAAAATAAAAAATAAAAACTAATGGAAAGAGGCCTTATGCTGACAGTGAGTACCTTAGATGGACAGTGTGTGTCATCCAGCCCTAATGCATAACAGTTTATTAACCTCATTCTTTATAAGTGTATTTCTGTACGACTAATTGTCACCGAATTTGTTTTTTCCATATATTTGTATACGTCACATCATGTATCCGTGAAACACACAAAATGTTTGAGATGTTGCGTTTGTAATAAGAGCGTTACATGGCAATGTGCACCCCCAGTAATCAGAGTGTGCCACACACATCAACTGGCTAAGTGGGGGCTCTTGTGCACCTCACCACAATACTAGGTGCCGCCCAACGACACTAGAGTGCAGTATTGTTTCCCCAAACGGTATTATTGTAGTATGTATGGAGTGAGACCACATGCTAACAGTGAGCACCTGAGACTGCACGTGTGTGCCATCCAGTCCTACTGCACTACTGTACGAATAATTGACAACGAATTTGTTTCAACACATATCTATATACATGATATCATGAATCATTGAAAAAAATGTTTCAGATGCAGTTTTTTTAGTAGGAGATGTACATGGCAATGTGCACTCCTAGTAAACAGAATGTGCCACCCACATCAAACCGGGTACGGGGGTGCTACCTGGCACCCGACCAGAATACTGGTGTGTGCACAAGTGAAGGTATGAGTGTGCCGAGCTAGACATTGCGTGACCACATACTTGTATGTGTCTGTGCACCGCTGCACATATGACCCAAATACGTGGCACCAAGCATTCCTATACCCAAGAATAAATAACAGCGTAACAAGCATTACTATACTCAAAAATTAATAAACTGGGAATCTAACACCAACGACCATCACCCCACCATTTATTTAGAGAAAAATGTGTCAAATGAATCAAAAAATAAGGTCCATAATACCACGAGCAGAGAAACAAAGAAAAATAGATAACGGACTAGCTACACACAAATCTATGTTGCACCCCCATCGTCACGATATTCAACAGCACTTCGAATGTTTTTCGAATGGTGAACGTTCAACTCGGCCGTCAAAATTTGACACATATAACTTGCCCTAAGCAAATCAAGGACCCCAATATCCCCCTTGTGCAGACCATAATCCCATGCATTAATGGGCTGCCCCAAGAAACACTCCATGTGCCGCATAGCAAAGACTCCACAGTCCACTTTGTTATGCACATCCCGCCACCGCATCTGCATTCTCCTAGGGATAATTCTCCGTACAATATACCCATACCGTTCGTCAACCACGTCATCAAGGAACACAGACAAGAAATCTTTCTGTCAAAGGGCACAACAGCGTTAGGAAGCAACAGGAAAAAAAAAAACACAACAAACAGCATTCCTAAAAACACAGGTGATGGGAAATGAAACCCACTAAGCAACAGTGTGAGCACATAGAAGTATCCGTGTGTGCCAAAGCATATAACCCCCACAGAAACACAGAATCGTAGGCGTACACCGGGTGCACCTCAGTGAACACCTGTGTGCCCCACATGCAACTGTGTGCGTATACACATCAGTCGGATACAGTGCAGCACAATATTGCCCGCAACGAATAGCAAACACATAACCAAAACTACATACAGTGGGAATTCAATAACATACCAGCACATCAGGTGTACCCCCATACATACTCCCATTAGTCCCACTAGCCGACGAATTGTCGATTATGTCAATGCGTTTCCGAACCATGTCAACATTAATAACATAATAGTGCTCACTCTGAAGAATGGGGAAAATGAACTGCACAAGAGAAAAATAATTAGCTAACAACCATAACGACTGCAAACATCCAAAAACAAGACAGACATACACATTAATCTAACCCCCACACGGACACAAAACCACACAGAGAACTAATGCACCACCACACAACAGAAAACAAACAAACAATTACAAATACCATATTAATGCTGCGCCATGACGCATAAGGAGACAACTTTAAACCCGCCTCCATGCGCTGAGAGAACCAATCAAGTCGACGTACACGTGACTGAGACTGAGACACCACTGTATTGAGCTACACATAAGCACAACACAAAATCGCAAACCAGATTTATCTGCATATCACAATATTTTTTAAAAAAAAAGACAACAACAATACAAGTGAACGTACCGTAGTTTCAATCGAAGCAAAAAATCTGCAAGGAGCACCGTCCGTCCGAGCCAACTCCCTTACGTTCAAAATACATGACCAACTATCAATTACGGCCACACGCAGCTGAGATCCAATTTTCAAGGACAACAAATCCTCACGTGTCGCTGCCCACCCGTTGTAGTTGAATAATTCCTCGTGGCTAGAACAAAAACATAACATAAGCAACCACACAAACAGTTACCCAACAAAAGCAGAAAGAGGAAAACTTACATGTGAGCCCGGGGATTGTCCACGATCCAGTCATAAAACACATGCGAATCAGGGACACTGGGCAAATATCTGGATATCAAACCATCACCACCTCGTACTGAGCCCCCAACCGCGTGAGGGCGCCGCGTCTTCACCGGAGCAGCCAACTGAGGCGCACATACTTGAGCCGATAGATCCCCAACACGCGGCATAATTTGCTACATACAAATATTAATCACCACCAACGAAAACATAGCATAAACAAAAAAATTATAAGAAAGAGAAATACCGCTACGGGGGTAAGCACTTGCAGATCACAAGCTATTGAACAGACCCCACCAACAATTCCACTACCTACTTGCAAAGCAACTCCCCCAGATGGTGGATTCGCGATGCCAACAGCAGCATGCATTGACGCGCCACGCAAAGGCTGAAGAACAAAAAATAAAAAAATAAATACCTAGGTGTACTTTCAGAACTAGAAGCACGTGCACATACGTTATTACGCAAGTGCACGCAAAGCAGACACAGTGTGGCCTGTGCACTTTGACAGAACTGTGTGTGCACCTGTGCATATGCATAAGAACATATTCATGCACCAACCACATAAGCATTGTGAACGGGACGAACCCCCCCCCCCCCCCACCCCACAACTTAACAATACTAAATGGGCAAGAAAAAACTCCAAAATTAAAACCACAAGGAGCAATCGCGTAATTCCCACGGCCAAAGTAAACATGCACAAAGACCACACACACTCTGCAAGTCTCATCTAAAATCAAAACACAACGACCGGATCAGACATAACTAATACGAAACAAGATATATAACATCTAAAACCAAGTACAATAACCTGCTGCATGTGCATAGTACAAAACAAAAAGTTATCAACACTATACAACTACCGCAGCACAGCAAAAAAACAGTACAAGGAGACTACTCACCAAGTACAGAAACATCCCACCAACAACAAAACAAAGCCCCAGTACACAACCCTACAAACCCGCCCCCTTAGCTTTCCTACGCTTGTAGACAATACTTACTGTAGCATCAGGGACACGCAACGGACAACCAGGCGGAGAACCACCAGCCACATCACCTGACCCATACTGATGGGCAACCTCCAAAACATCAGCCCCCTGCTGCACCTGAAAATCCTGCGTCAATCCCAAGCTAAAAGATGGAATATCATGCATAGCATTCCGAAACTGGATCGCTCGCTCAACCTCCTCGAGAGCACGCACATTCGCAGGGTCAGCCCAGAACGCATCCTGAGACGGCGTGAACAACGACTGTGAAGTCTGCTGAGAAGGCATGGTAGACCCCCCAGTGGCATGACCAACACCGAGCATCACGCGCGACGCATCTAACACCTGGACCAAACTGTCTGTCTGCAAATCAGACCCAGCACCATAAGCCTCCTGTAAAACCTGCATCAACCGAAGCATAGATGTGGCCGCAGCCTGTGCATTCTCGATCACCCGAACAACCAACGGCTGCAACCACCAGCATAAAACAACAACAGAGAACAGTCAATCACAGGTTTGCGAAAAAGACAACACCAACTTACACAACTACATAAACCACACACTAACAAAGAAAGTATGTTTTACCAAGCAAATGGCCCACCAGTGAGCACACACGAACATCAGTGTGTGCACCCCAACAGAAACAACTTAAACTCCGAAAAAGCCCAACACATGTTAAGTCTGTGCACATCAGCACAAAAACCACTATCACACCAACCTAACAACCAGACGCCCACATCAAATGGACTAACCCACCAAGCATCCAAACATGACATTTAAAAATTTAAAAAAAATCAAAAAAAAAAAAAAACAACTATAATATATAAAACACCCAAAGAGGCCCACAACTGCTTTCCAACACTTTGTGAACCCTCGTCCCCGAGTGGGTGCACACAGGCAACCACTCAGAAGGCAGTCGTGTGCCAACAAAAGCAAACAAAACTTTAAAGGCATTAATGGACGACATAGCCTTACCTTGCTACTCTCTGGCTCACGGTGGCCATCCAATGCACCACCTTGACCTCCACTCGGTACTCCCACATTGACACCATCCGAGGCCCCCACAGCACCAACATCAACAAACCGTAGCTGAACAACCCCTCCACCAAACCCACCACCCCTAATCTCTACAAACTCGCGCTCACGCAACAACTGACTTGTCCAACCTAAAAAGGCTGGAACGGCTCTGGGAACAGCGCGAGCGGCACCATAAACACGATCCACATAGAAAACCTACGAAACACACGTGCACACACATCAAACCCTACATCCCAAAAATACAAACATAAACAAAATGAAACAAAACGGAGACACTACCGTCAAGAACAATAGGGGCCCAACAAACCGCTGCCTCTTGTTAACCAACCACGCCGCGCGAGTCTCAACCAAACTATCCAGGACAAACTTACACCAGTTCAAATCACCAATCTTCTCAACCTCCTCATAATCATCTACAATCATCTGGTATGCATAACCATTATGCATGCACTGAATCAAAGTACTCACCATCAAAGCAGTGAAATGGCGCTTAAACCACTCACACCCACCACGCAACTCATCCATCCTTAATGCAATACGGGTAGGCGTAATGTCATGGGTGGTTGTGTCAAACTCAGCCCTCCAAAGCAGCAAAAAGTCACTGACATCATTGTTTCCACGCTTGGTAATCGTGATGTCACCTCTAGGAAGCCCAAGCGTCGCCTCTACATCCTCCTCACGAATAGCCACCGACACACCATTCCCCAAATGCAAGGACATTGTACCAGGGTCGAAATTCTCCAGCAACCAACGACCCATACGTCCAGGAGTCTCCATAACCTCCAACTCTAACAACTTCCCAAACCCCAAATCACACACTGCACTACGCAAGTATGCGTGCAGAGCACCTAGTCTTCGAACTCTCGAACCGAGCAGCCTCCGCTGGAGTCAACTCATACTTCGACACATCAACATCATCATCCTCAGGCACAGCTGCCTCAACCTCAGGTTGTTCCTCTGGGAAAAACAAAATACACCATATCAAAACTGAAATGCACACACGTAAGAACACACCGGCACACTAACAAAATCCATTACCATTACACCCACCACTGCACACCAAGGATAAATAATCTAATAGACTAAATTCAATACAGTATTACTCTAAATGCACACAACAGAGACCACAACGGCACATAGCAGGAGCAGCCCACCTC